GCATGTGGGGCAAAGCGGTGCGGTGGCGTCTGTGTGTAGAACACAGGGTGGCCTATCGTTCTGCAAACAGCTGTCAATGATGGGTGACTGGGGTGACCGTGCGTGTCAAGTTGAGGAGGCCGGCCCGACACGTCTACGTGGCCTTGACACTTGCGAAATGGGTCTGCCGAGGAGCGAGGAGGTGCACCAAGTCAGCGCGAACTGTTTTGACCCTCAAATGCGACTTCTAACAACCATACCACTTGTATAGACCATTTCTGCGAGCGCTTCCTGAACGCGTATGGTCACCCTTGTCACGAACGTCGCCACCGATACCAGGCACAGTCCGAGCGAAAAAACCGCGCAACTTTCACTGACTTATGCAAAGGGCTGTAACAGACCCCAACCACTCCGTCCACTGTGGGCAGTAGAACGATTAGCGTTTGACGTCTTAGTCCTCGTCGGGTCCATTCTAGTCCTCGCGGTAATAGCGGTGATGATAGCAGCAATGATGGCGTTTGGGATTTTTATGTACATACTTACTGTCGTTATGCCATGGGCATCTGAGGTGGGCGCTGTGGTTCTGAGTGCATGGTGATATCGGTATGATCCCTACGCATGAGTATAGCAAATAGGGTCCAAGTAATATGATGTGTGTGGGGGGGTCTACTGTAAAACGCTGGGCTCTACTACAACGCTCACTCGAGGTCACGTCATCAATGGTCCCTGAGGCAGCTCCTGCGCGGATTGCCTGCTTCGCAGGCCCAAACGTAGACACCGCTCACCCGCTTCATATCCACCGTATTCTTTTTTGACATGGTGTTGTCCATGTACTTATTTCTCGAATGGGCGTTCCACAGGAAGCACTTCGAGTACAGAACAGATCGAAGACAGAACAGGCTCGAGTCATCATGTAAACCGTTCGGCGCCAGGGATAAAGTAGCCGGCAAAACGGTTTGTGGGGTGTGAGCGAGAGCCAGCCAGACGCGGTGTACCTGGCGAAGTGCATGGCCGCAGCGCAACTCAGTGGTGAGTATCGGCCGCGCATATCCAACAGTCGCAGCACTGACCCGGCCACGAAAACGATCGGCCTCCAAGCTTCGAACAGAGCGCGGCTGGCAGCGACTCGCTGGGCGAGACGGTCAAGCGCGGTGGCTCAACTGGAGACAGGCATGAGCTAGAGCTGTCTGGCGTCGTGCCGTGCCACGGCAGCCGACGGTGTCAGGTCTAGCTGATACATTAACGTTGGTATAGTCTTGTGTCCTGTGTGAAGAATATGTTCAGTGATTCCTTCGAAGCCCAACCCAATAACATGTACACGTACTCGAGGGCCTGCCTGGCGAGCTCAGTGCTACTCTGTTTGATTTCATGACCTCGACAACACCCGGAGATCTCCTTCACTCCCCGCTTAGCTGCAATTTTCGCGTCATGATCCACAAGGACTCAACTCCCGAAGGCGAGATGCGGTTAGTGCGAGTCCTCTGCCGCTGCCAGAGCGGCCGATGTGGAATGGGAGAGCCAGGCGCGGATGTCCTACTTGGATGTGTGCGCCGGCTTTGTGCGCGCTTGGAGACGCGCGAAGGTGCGGATCGGGAGAGGCACGGTGGAGGTGGACGTGTCGGGAGGAAAAGTTGTGCGCAGACGCGTCGATCGACGCGACTCGAGTGCGTGTTCGGTGCCGGCGCGGCGCGGAGGGATGTCCGAGGCGTTCTTTCCGCGTCTTACGCTTGACCGCCATCTGCACTTGCTCCCGAAATCGTACTCAACCTACCATATATTTGGACCTTCCACGGCCCGCACGGCCGTGTTTCTCATATACTGCAGTTGGGGCTCTATAATCGATACTCAGACTGATCGCTTGGCCCTATACACTACAAGACTCGCTTTGCCAAAAGCGAAACGTCAACTGCCCCGAGATAAATACAAGATATCAACATCTCATCCAACGGGGGGTCTCTCTCCTCCTCCTCAAGCATCGAACGCTCGACCTTTCCCTCTGTCCCGCCTTCCCAACTCGGGCACAGTGCCCTCGCCTTGAGACCCGCTCCCCGTCCCCGTCTCAGCGATATCGTTCTGCTCGAGGTTGATACTACTCCCAGCCGTGGCAGACACCCGTCCGTTACCGTCACCTCCTCCGGCGGCACTGGGGCCTGCAATACTACCCGCTCGCCCGCCGCTCGAAGTAGCCCGAGAGGATGAACGGACCGGAATCCCCTTCTCCGCCGCATCCGCAATGAAATCTTCATCGCCACTAGCCGGATGCCCAAGGTTTGAACCCGACGTATGTTGTCGATCTGCTGTATCCACGGGCAGACTCGCCAGTTTGACAGTATCGCTGTCGTCAAGAGGGTTGGCCTGTGCTACGTCGCCAGGAGCGACGACGGCAGAATCGAGAACTCCGGAGGTCGGAGATGTCTCTGCAGCATGTTCCTCGACGTTATATCCTTTTGGCTCTTCGCTCCGTATCTGAGCATTGTTTCTATCGAGATTCTCGTGTGCGCCAGCACGAGAGCTGTCTGGAGTGGGGGAGGGTCCCTTGTCCATGTTGACACAGTTCCGGAGCTGGATCAACACCGGGCCGAACACCTCAAGAACAGCCGTGTTAGGATGTTCTTCTGCGCCCTGTCGACAAACCCCACGGTCGCCCTTCATGTAGTCATAAACCAGGGGATGGCGCAAGACCTCCAAAAATTCGCGAGATGGAGCCTCATCTGAGGCGCAGGATTGCAGATTTATCAAACGTTCAAGCGGTAAGAGTCGGGAAGTCCACAGAGATGTGTATCTTTTTGTGTAGTGATCAATGATTTCTCTCTTATTTGAGACGGGTGCCTGCAGAAGATATTTGACCATCGTCAAGACTACGCAAGCAAGGATATGTTCATCTGACATGTGGAGTAACTCTGAGTAGCAAATGTCATTGTGGAGAGTAACAATGTTATGAAGCAAAGATGGAACCACATCTAACAGCGACATATACAGGGTAATGAAGTCCTCAAATGGATATGATGCTTCCAACACTATTGGGCGTGGATGAGCCTTCATCTTATCCTTTAGAATGTTCGAATGCAAATGCAGATAAAATACGCAGAAGTGTGCGTGCAGAACATACTGTGCATCATTGGAGTCTGCTAGTAGAAACTCCCTGAGACGCTGTTCGAAGTCGATGCTTATAAAGATCTTGAGTTCTTCAACTGACAATGGCACAGATAACAATCTATCAAGATATCTCCCTAATAGTAGACAAGTAAACTCCAGTAAATCAATGCGATCGCCAGGGTCTAGCCTCTGAGGGTTCGTGATATGGCTTCCAAACCAGCTCATAAACGGGCCATTGGCAAGTACGAGGTCAAGACACTGCCCCCTCTCTCCGTTGAAGTCGCGTCTAGTGACTTTCATACTAAAGTGTAACAAAAGTTCCGGTGATTGGGTGTTCCCGGACATAAACTGCCGGCTAGTGTGCTGCCAGATGAATCGAAACCGTGGAGCGGATGAGGGCTCCTCGAGACTGCGTGGAATTCTCCTCTTAGTACTCGGTTTTGAAATGGTTATATTCTTGACAAATTTCACCAAAGGGGTTCTTGATGCAGCGGATTGTCGAAGGAGGGGGTACCAAGGTTTAGAGCGGATGCCCGAAACTTCAAGGCATCTCCTGAAAATGGGCAGGTGGGCATAGAGCCCGTTACACAGGAGTTGGACAAACATCAGACATCGCACAGAGTACCAGATAATCGCCCTGAGAAGGTAAACACAGAGCAGACATGCAATGTTCAATGGATATGTCAAAGGTGTCCTATACGGGCAGCTCGTATCCCTAATCGGCATCATTCCTGCCACAAGATAGACCAGTCCGAAGATCCCGAGTGTGAATGCAGTACACCCCAGAACAATATCATTGATGGGGATGAGGAATAGCACCAGCCCCACCGCAAAGAGAATGACAGCCAAATGCACAAGAGAAACGATCATATTGACAACTTTATCCATGCCATAGCGATCGACACCCATCCTAATGTAGGCGTGGTTGAGAACCCGACTCATCATATCCTCGTCAAGTGTATCTTTCTCTTGAAGATCCCGTACATAGTCTCTGGACCACTGTTGCACGAGCGTGGCTAGAAGAGCGCATGCAAGGGCGGTCATGAGGCTGCAAAACCATAGAGCATTGACAAGGACGATGGGAACAGCAGCGCGGAATGGTTCAGCTGGTGTGGGCTCTCCGGGAATGCCAGACGACGAGTTCGTTGTAGCTAGGAGCAACTGGTTGAGAAGAGCGACAGTCTGGTCGCCTGAATCGGGAGAGAGCTTCTGATAGCTCTCAATCAGGAACGCCGCGACCGTCGCGGCAAACAGACCCGTCTACACCCCTTATCATCAGCTGAGCGTCGTCGAAGACAAGAATGAAACGCACGAAGGTCAATATGCTCCCCGTGTTTCCGTCCCAATCCTTCGTGCGCGCATCGTCCCCGTCTTTCATGCTGCGTAAGTAAGTTCCTCCGAGCTTCTCTAGCGGTGTCTTCTCTCGAGAATAGTCATTCCTATCGAAATATTGATCGAATCACTTCTCGAGGCCGGAGAGAAGCTCTTTCGCGTCATCAGTCGAAGTTGACATGAGGGTCAATGGAGGGCGGACACTCGCGGTGCACTCCAGAACGTGTATAGATATAGGACCGCACACGCGGCGAACGGTCGGTTTCAATGCGTCTTGATTCATTCGGCTCGAAAAGGTGGAATGCATGGCTTCGAACGATAAATCTCGACGCCACATGTCAAGGTATCTTCTTTCGAGCTATCATATGAACCGCTATTACACTAGCCAGTTTCTCGTCGCGCTATCCGTATGACAAACTGTCAACATCTTGCATCTCGAGAGTGCATGGAAAGACGTTTGTACAAAACCACCACCAGTTCTCTTTCAGCTAACAACGCTCGAGGCGTCTAATCTGGTGCGCGCCAGTGCGCGCCGCATGTTCTGCACGAGTTTTAGCTGGGAGGACGCGGAAGAGACAGTTTTATTCGTACGTATCGAGCACTGTCTTCGAGCGATGATGCGAAATGCGTAGACGTATCTTCGTGCACTCCAATCCGCGTGTACGCCGTGCACTGCACTATGGAAGAACTCGTCACTGCAAGAAGCTCCCGACTACATGGGGTTATCTCCATATAGAAAGGGACATGAGTAGAGAGCCATGAGGTCCATATCAACTCTATTCGCGCGGGACCGCATGCATACGCGAATCCGTGTTCGCGAAGGCATGATGGACGTCGAGGTCAAGACGCGCCGGCGGCGTCGCGTCAAGCGCGCGATCAGCACTACGGTCCGAAACCCGAGCTCTGGCTGCGCCCGCACCAGTTGAACTTGATCATCATGAGCTCGGCACTCAGCGCTCAGAGCCGGCGCTGGCCAAGGCCGTAGCTGCTGGTCAATAGCCGTAGAGAACGCATATACTACACATGGTACAACCTCGAGGCCGCCCGACAACATCAAGGAGCGTCATTCATCCGAACGGTTGACTAGAAAGCTTCGAAAGCACTACATCCCGTATCAGAACACGCCTGGATTAGGCCATGTCAAGACTACAATGGGCGAAGAACTTCAGGGTGCGTACTTCCATTGAGCATCCCATCGACGGTACTGGTTTCTGACCGAGCCTTCCGTTCTTTTATAAGTAGGCGTTCGCTTGACTTGCTTTGGTCGCGATTGGACGAGACGACTCCCATAACCAGCTACTCCTTTCCGCCAATACTTCTGCTGATTTCAGCGCCAAGATATGCTCGAGAGCCGTATAAGACCGCCACCGTAATCTCATTGGCTTCTTGGATCTACCCCATCCTCCAACTCGAACTGGCACTGCATCATGTCGACGCCCTTCTCTATCATACCCGAGCGGTCCTCCTCCCCGTCTGCTGAATCCGACGGCTCTCTCGTGACACTCTTGTCCTTCGTATATGAGGAAGTGGTGGTCGAGTCGCCCGATGTGGGACCGGGAGTGCAGTCGAAGGACGCGGCGATCTCCCACCCCGATTCGGAGCCGCCCGCTTGTATCATCCGAAAGCATGAGAGGTACTACTTCGAAGACCGCACTGTGAAGCTCCTGGTATGTTCCATGCGCTCGCTACTACCCACGTCTCACATCTAAAGCTGACTGAACCAGGTCGATAACACCTTATACAACGTGTCGCGCACTCCTCTTTTACGACACTCGGAGTGGTTCCGCCAGCGCCTAGAGCAGGCCCCCGAGTGTCTTCCACCCGGGTGGACCACTCTTCCTATTCCTAATAGATCAACCATGTTCGTGAATCACGCTATGGAGATCGTGCAGGCCGAACGACCAGGCGTCTCGCTCAAGGATATGCCGGAGTACGAGGGCGCTTTCCACCTGTACGGCGCGGACGAGACGGAGTTCGACGCGCTCATGGGGGTTCTTTATCCTGAGTGCGTACATTCACCACAGCATTATGCTAGGACACGAGCTCACTGTGCATGTTTGTAGGGCTTACAATGAGCTGAACCTTACGATTGACCAGTGGACCGCCGTGCTTAAGCTCGCGACGCTTTGGTCCTTCCTTTCCATCCGTACGCTCGCCGTCCAGCGTCTCGGACAACTGCTTGCCACTGCGCCGCTCGAGCGCCTCATTCTTGCGCGCACGTACGACATCTACGACTGGATCGAGGGCGCCTGTTGTGAACTCATCGAGCAAGATTTCCCGTCCATCGAGGAAGAACTTGTGCGACTGCACGTTGCGGACCTGGCCCATATTGCGATAGAACGCGAGTCCCGTGCCAACGCTCGGGCAATATCTGATCTTCGCACGGAGCCTTTGCTCACGAAGGCCTTTGAGAACCTCGATACGGTGCGGCGCAAAGAGAAAGAGGAGAAAGAGAGGCAGGCCGAGCAGAAGGCTGCCGAGGAAGCCCGCGTTGCAAAGGAGCGGAAAGAAGCGCACGAGCGTCAGGAGAAGGAGCGCGTGCGCCGGGACAAGGACAGAGCGCAGCTGAGGAAGGAGAAGGAAGAGTCGGCTCGCAAGACGGCAGCAAAGCTAGCCCAACGCGAGGCCGCCGCCGAAGCTGCACGGAAGGCTCTGGAGGAGCGTGACGCTGCCGATGTGGCCGAGAGCAAGGTGAAGGCGGAGCGTGAGCTTGCAGAGGTGCTCGAGCGCAAAGTCAAAGCTGCGCGAGAGCTAGCTGAGCTCAACACCAGGAGCCAAGGGGCGATGAGCGAGTGGGCGCAGTTCGCGGCGTTCTTCTCCGGACTGGGCGATGGCAAGTCGCGCTCTCCCGCGCCCCCTGTACCTGCAGGTTTGGCGTAGAACGTGGATGGATCACGCAGCCTGTGGCAGTATCGCAAGAGATAGAGGGAGGATTTGTGGGCTTCGGAGTGTGCGGGGAAAACTGAGTAAATATATGTACAGTTCACTGTCGTTTGTTACTATTCTATGTCCGGTGTTCCCTACTCTCATTTGTAGAACGAGTGTGTCGTAGTACGTCTAAATATTCTACACGACGTCTTGAATTCATAATACGAGTTCATCCTCCAACGACTTGTACATCCCGCTAGGAGTACGTATCTCTTCGTCGGACATTCGCTCGACCTGACCGACCCATTCCCCCACTCTCCTCCTGTAGAGCTCAATCTCGCAAGATATCACCGCCTCGTAGAAGTCCCTCTTCAGCGCGTTCGCTGGGTCCTTGTACATGCGCACCCATTCGGGCTGGACGTGTTCCATCTCCTCGAGCAACACAGCACGAAACTGCGTACGCTCCCACTCGAGCACATGCTCCGCGTAGAGTTCCGTGATCCGCCCGTCCTCGTCCCTCATGTACGTCGCCTCGTACGGCTGCTCCGTGCGCGTACGGCCTCGCAAGAACTGAGGCAGGGTGCATACGCACCAGAGAGGAAGGGCTGACACGCATTCCCAGTCGACGATCCCAGTCAACTGCCCAGCTCCGTCTGCGAGCAGGTTGTGACATGTGAGGTCGTCATGGCGCAAGGCGGTAGGCTCGACGCTGTCGGCGCCGGGTAGTGGGAATATGCGCGGTAAAAGCCGGACAAGCCGTTTCACGAGCGCTTGTGTCAGTAGAGCTTCTTCGCGCTCATCCTCGTCGTCCGGATCCGGATCATCTTCGGCAGCCCGTTGTGCGAGCGTTTTCGCGCAGTTGTTGAGGGTGAACTGGAGGAGGGCGCGAAGCCAATCGTGACTACAGCGAAAAGGGCCGCGTGGAACGTCCAGCTCGTAGTGGTCGTCCCAAAAGAACATTGTGGAGACGATAGGGCCGATGGTGGCCGTAGCAGATATTGTTGAAGAGTGTGGCGTCGGATATATGTTCCCGATGCCTTCTAAGGGATGGCCGTAGAGCTTTCCGAGGACGCCGACGAGCGTCTTCATGAGTGCGACCTTAGCCTCCCACTCCATTCCTTCCCAACAATCCTCCAGCGGTCCACCATGCATATTCTCCATAAGCATCCATTCGTATCCAAGTCCGCTGACCGCTGCATCAGCGCTGTATGCGGATATTCGCGGTACAAGCTCCGTTGCATGCGTCCGGACCAATTCGATCGTGGCGACCTCGCTGAGCGTCTTCAAGCGCGGCTCCACAGGCAGCGCGACACGGATGAGATACTGTTTGGTGAGAGTGTCGGAGGCGATGGTGTAGAGCTTGTTGAATGCGCCGTCCGCAAAGCGATCGATAGTGCATGGGTTATCCGCGGGAATATCGAGGTGCTCGCGTGCAATGGCTTCGAGGTGCGCGAGCGACGGTTCAGAGGGCCAGATGGGAGGCAGAGGAGTGCCGAATACGGCGTGTCTGGGCCATTTTATGTCACGTCGCGCGATCATAGCCAAGGGCGTGGGTACCGGGGATGAGCCTGTGGGCACAGTATAAGTATACGCAGCGCTTTATGTAGCCAGAGTCGGAGTCACCAAGGCCGGGTGCCGCATCGCGTGCATGTAGTCAGTCAAGTCGCGCGGAAGTCGCCACTAGTCTTGGCGTGCATATGATAGTAGGTCCGCCTGCGTAGGCTGTAGAAGGTTACAACTGAGCAAGAGCAAGTGGTGGTGATGGTAAGGAACAAGCCGCGGCCGCGCACAACGCAGTCTCGAAAGTCGGTTTCGCGACTCTATTCACGTCCACCATCATCACGTCAACGTCCACTGGACCCGTGGGTAATGGAAGGCCTGTATCTGGATACTAGACCTTTGACACCTTGCTCAAATCGTGTCCGCGTCAAGAGCCTTTCGTGAGCAGCTGAGGCGTGTGCAGTTTCGGAAGAACACAGAAGCTCTAGTGCCGCGATGGGGCGCCACAGCGAAGTCACCAACGTGTCTTGAAGAGCATCCCCGGCTTCTTTCAGCCCCGTATAAAGCTCAGCGACACGTACTGTCCGCACAGCTCTGCGTGAACGCATGAGACTATCTAGATCGTCACCAAGGCTCGGTTGCGGGCAGATCTGCACCGATCGCGCATCGTCCCCTCTCGAATCAGTCACGGCTTCCTCGTTCTCCTCGGTCTCGCGCGAAGAATTCGAGGTACGCATCCTGATCGGGACCATCTTCTACTGACAGCCTCAGATGGTGGTGTATAATGGACTCATGGGATACTCGCAGGAGGCGAAGAGGGACAACAGCGACGGGCCGCGATAATGAAAGAAGGTCATCCTTATGACGCTGTGTGACGATATAGCTGGCTACGAGACCGACCACGAGATCTTTACGAAGGATCGAAGGCTCAGTGATTGATGACCTGCATTGCCTGCGGAAGGAAAGAAGTGCGTCCAGACAAGCGTAAGGTGTGGCGGTGTTTGTGTGTGAGTGTTATCAGCAGATGGTGCCGATATCCAGCTGGTATAAAGCTTCTGCGACCCATAAACTCGTGTCCATAAGTATGGACTCGAGCCAGCTTCACGACAGGCAGGTGTCCCCCGAAGCTGTCGATCGTACTTCGTCGTCGCCCACTCAGTGCGTCATGCCATTGTCATCATCCATATTTGATGCTGAGCGATCGATCAGTCAAATCATGGACGGCGCAAGTGTGCATCCGTCTAGTGTGCTATCCAGCTTCTCGTATTACGCGGGGGAAGACTCTCGAATACCGAAACATCACGCATACTATTTCGAGGAAGGGATGGTTCGACTGTTGGTGCGTGGTCCTTTCACCTGGCTCTTGTTTTCATCAAGCTCATCACTTTTGCATCAGGTCGGCGATGTGTTGTTTAATGTACCGCGGCACATTCTTACCTTCCATTCATCATGGTTTTGTGAGAGGCTCCTACAGCCGAAGAGAACGCTGCCGCCCGGTTGGACCAAGTGCACGACGTCTCGTGGGGACGTCTTCGTCAACCATCAGCTCGGACTCGTGGATGCAAACTTCCCAGGCTTGTTGCCTTCGAACGATCTCAAAGAGGATACGTTCTGTATATACGGCGCGTCGGCTCGGGAGTTCGAGGCCCTCTTGGCCGTCCTCATGCCCATGTACGTGATTGGACTTCTCAGCTGTTCTCTCTTCTTTGACAGTAGCACTTCTAGTGATTACAGCTCCCGCAATCTCACAAAGGAGCAATGGATCGCAGTTCTTAAGCTCTCGACGATCTGGCGGTTCAGATCTGTCCGCAACCTCTCTATCCAGCACCTCAAGCACGCCCTCGGGGACGCGCCACTAGAGCGACTTCTTGCTGCACGCGCGTACGACGTACACCGCTGGGTGGATGGTGCAATCCAGGACCTCGTCTCCCGCGACGAACCGTTGACCACGAACGAGGCCGCACAACTGTCGGTGACAGACGTTGTTCGCATCCATCAACTGCGCGAAACGCGGGTCTTGAAGGACTTGGGCAATGATCCGCTCTTCGCGAAGGTTATGGAGAATAGGAAGCGTCGCGAGCTAACGAACTCGGCGAGTAACATTCCCTGGGTCATCACCTTGACACGGGCTGAATGTGGGCTAGAAGCCGGTCTTGGACAGCGCTCAGCAAGCTCTATCGCTGAAAGTCGGAATCCTCGCAGTCCTTCTCTTCATAACGATGATGGAACTGGGCTTTCTAGTCGTAGCCTTGTACATATACATGTTCGGCCATAAGTGATGAGAGCTATGCTTGCACGATCCTGTATCGAGGTCAAGCGCGACACGCAGATCGTACGGCGCCGATCATCAGAGTGTGGGGCGCGCTTCATTCCCACGAGTCTCGGGGTTGTTAGCGTTGTCTCGGGGCCGACGTTGACCTGTTGCCTCCAACCACGATGTGCTTCGCAAGGCTGGCTACATAGCCACAGTCTCCCTCGCCCAAGGGCCCTATCTATGCACTACACCAGTCTACTACGCATAGACGGATAGACGAGCATGCCTTGCTACCTATGTTGAAGAAGAGGTTGGGTGTTGATGGTACGTCCGATAAAGCGATGCGCTCTGCACAGCGGAAGCTGATGATAGTCTAGCAAAAATGTATTTGTAGCATACGGCGTTCCAATTGTGACAGTCTTTCAGAACACGTACACCTTCTGATCTATTCCTTGATGAACCATATATTCGTGACCTCGTTTATGACGGTGCGCAGTGAGACGACCGCGCTCCTCGAAACCCATGGCTTTGTACTTCGGCACCTGTCGTGATATCAGCAGATGGTGGCAAGGCCCGCATCTGCTCGACTTACATTCACCTCGTTGGCCGTGCACACGCCCAGGATCTCTCCGGACGCGCGAGCCTGATCACCATGAGAAGCCCTTCACAATGCCGGACTACGACGTGCGCGCGCACTCACCTTGGCCGTGAGCTGGTCCATCACGAACGTCGCATGACCCTTGTTATGCTCTGCTTTGTCGGTGACCATGAGGTTACAGAACCACATCTTATCCAGTTCCTAGATGAAGGACGTCGGGTCAATCTCAAGGACTCGCGTCATAGGCGTGTCATTCGCTAAGGACCTCTTGGCTGATGATCGTCTTTTGGTAGGCTTCTGATTTCTGAGGATACTATCTCAGGGATCAGCTCACTGGCTCACGCTGAAGGTGGATACCCTACGTCTTCAGTCCACCAACGCTGGAGATTCACGGGAAGCTTTGCGAACCACTCGTTGAAGCCGAGTTCTCGTTGCGCCTCGCTAGTGTCTCGGTAAGCCATCTCGCTCCTCGGGCTGGTGGTCAAACTTACGTCTTGAATAGACCCATCGGCTGGCGAAACCATAGTGCGAGGGTGACAACCCGGGAATCAACTTCGACTACGTACACTGTGCCCTCGAGCAACGTGGCACGAACCATGGCCGCGTACATCCCGTCTCTCAAGGAGAGGTCTCCTCCCAGCATAGCCAGGAGCGATTGATCTGGATCCGTGGGCTACCCGTGCTTATCGGAAGGCGCGAGACCGCACTCACCATTGTCCCCGAATGCAGTGGCAATCATCTCAAGGATATAGTCCAGGTCAAACTCTGGAAGCGGCATTTCAGCGTCACACTCATTTGAGGTGGTGACCGCGTACCCGAGAGCGCCTCTATCCGCCTCAAAGTACGCTGAGTCATCTGCGCTTGACTATGCAGTGGGATAGAGGGAGGACGAGAGAAAGGCATCGTACTACATAACCTCACGAGAGTCTTGTACTAGAGTCCTCGGCGATCTCGCGTTTCAGCGTGTCGTATCCGAAGTATAACTCGGCAACGCCGGACGGTGCATACATCTGACGAGATGAATCGATGGTTTCGGGGACTAAACGTTGAATATCTGCAATGAGCTACTTCTGAGCTGGTTAGGTGGGCGAAGGGAGGCGCGCGGGTATAACATGTCCATCGACGCCTATACTCACCCACATGCACCACCCGCCCCGGTCCGGGCGCTGATCCCTAAGTTCAAGTTGTTCTTGTACCTCCACCTCCGTCCTTGTAAATACGACATATATATGCTGTATCCCGCCAGAACCACAAGTCCCGCTCAGCCGTGCCGGTTTCGGCGCTTTGGTGCTTTGACAGTGCTCAGCATTGAACGCCAGCACTTCTTGAAACCCTCCTGGCACAAACTCTGCCACGCCCTCAAGCGCACGCACAGCTAGTTGTTGGATATCACCGCTCAAGATCCATGCCAGTGCTTCTGTCCGAACGCCACCTTGCCAGAAGGGAGAGCTCACTACCGCAACGAGCAAAGGCGCCCGGACAGCGCGCAGTGTGGCCGAGTATGCAGTTTCAGGCGCTGCTGCCATCAAACACACCCAGCGCCTATTTCTTTGGCCTTATATAGTGCCCACCCCACCCTGCAGACTAGCCCCATCTGCCAACTCTCGTCTACCACCTGGCGCTTGTCTAACAGATGTCCTCAGTCTCATCTTTCTCATCCGAGGAACAAGAGTTCGACGTAAGTGAGACCGACAGGATGAGTGTGGCGTCGCAAGAGTCGACCCCCGCGCGTATGCTGAGGCATGAGAAGTACTACTTTGAAGAGGTCAACGTCAAACTTGTGGTACGCGCGTCTCATACATGCACCACACGCTGAACTGACAGCCTGCTTCCTAGGTTGATAATGTCCGATACAACATCCCGCGCATGCTCCTCACCCGCCACTCGGCGTGGTTTCGCGAACGTTTTGCGCAGCCTGCGAACTGCCTTCCACCTGGATGGACAATACACACGATGGAGGATGGCATGAAGGTATACGCCAATCATAGCCTTGGTCGCATTCAACGCGAGCGTCCTTACGAGAAATCTCCGGAGAATGTCTATCGCTTGTACGGCGCATCAAAAGAGGAGTTTGACGCGATGTTGGCGGTGCTTCTCCCCGAGTACGTCAAATTTCAGTCTGCTTACGACGAGGACTGACTCTCATCTAGCGATCTCGCAGAGCATGACTTGAACGAAGGGCAATGGGCGGCCGTTTTGAAGCTCGCCACACTCTGGGACTTTTCAACTGTCAAAGCGCTCGCTCATCGGCATCTCGCAACTCTGTGTCCTGGTGCTCCGCTCGAGCGCCTCATCTTTGGGCGGACGCATGGCTTGGACGACTTGGCGAATTGCGCGCTACGAGAGCTCGTCGAGCGTGACGAGCCGCTGCAAGAGGATGAGACCATGCGACTCGCAATTCCGGATGTCGCGCGCATCTCCAAGGGGCGAGAATTGCGATTCCGTGCGACGCTGGATAGGTTCTCACAGGAGTTCGAGCGTTTAGGGCTGCCAGTTCCTCGTTTGGGCGGTGATCCGGGGCAGAACATCGAGACACCCTTTTGGATGAACATGGAGATGCCGGGGTGGGATTGGGGCGATAAAAACCAGAGGGAAGACGGTGAAGACAGGTCGTCGAGAATTGGTGTATCTGATAGCGCCCGTACAAGTGGGACAACTCCGGCACGAGATGGGGAGCGGGCCTCAAATTCGGAGACTGAAACGGTGGTGCGCGAGCGTGGGCCCAGAGGCGAACACAAGTCAGAGCAGTTGGCCGTCGTTGAAGAAGCCAAGGAAACGGCGGAGGATGAAGAACTTGCACAGCTGGAGACTCTTGAATGTCTTTCTGAGGAAACACGGAGGGTGATTAGACACATATGTAGATAGAGAAGGGGTCGAGATAGGTCATAGGTCATAGATAATCGTAAAATGTGTTGACAGATATGATATAAAGAGAGCCCGAGCATCAAAGTACTTATACTAAGAAGTAACAAGGAGCTTCATCCACCCGACATCGAGTTACGTATCAGCTCACTGCTCATTCCCTTGAAAACCCGCTATATAGGTCATACGCAACTACAATAGGCCTAGAGGTCGATTTCCTCGAGGTCAGTATGCGAGTAGGAGCTCAAGCTAGACAGCTCCGAATGCGACCGCTCAATCTCTGCCGCCTCCGAGTCCATGAACGAGTCGGGAGACTCCGGCTCGCTAGTCGGGCGCTGAAGCAAGCGCGGGAAGGGGATAGAGCGCAGCGAAGCAAGCGAGCGGCTCTCACGCACTACGCGCGGCATCCATCTCTTCTGCTCTCTCGCAAAGCGAGAGTTGGAGTCTACAACCATGACTCTCACGTTGCTAGGAGTGTCGACCTTGGGAGCCTGGGGCGCATCGAGAGCGGCGGATATCATCGCGTGCATGAGCAGGGTCGACGCGGCGTGCGGCGTAGAGTCCGAAAGCTTGTCGTACGGCAACGTTCCCACGATAACCCTCATCCTGTGCTTCTCCTTCGTACCATCGTGCGCCTCGGTAGACTTGGCCAAGAGGTTGTCGGGCAACTTGATGAAGAGAGGCGCCTGATCGCGCCCAGGACGTGTGGCTATGTTCAAGGGCGCAGCGGCGGTAACGGGGCGGCGAGGAGATGGTGCAGCCAAGGGCGGTGATTGGAGGACAACCGGGACGCCGGACAGCTTCTTCTCCAACTTCTCCGCGAGCGCTGCATCCTCAAGCATGGCGTCGGTGACATCCTGATCCTCTGTGGACTTGCGGCCGGGGGCATCGGGAATGGGTACCTTCGAAGGCTCTGCGGATAGGGCCTTCGTCGCATCACGGAAGCTGAGGTACCTCTGCATCGGACTCATGGTAGGCGACGGAAGGGGGAACGGTGGTGAGCGTGCGCGCGTAGGGCGATATGCCGGTTGATGAGAGTCACTGGGCGGCGAGGGCTCCGTGGGGGGCGGAGCGTCTGTGCGAGGTTCGTTTGTTGACACGCCGGCGGCAGCGATCTGCGCCTTGATCATTTCGGCTTCGGCTTCGAGGTCTCGCCGCTCTATCGGTGACAGAGTTACTTGGGACCGATGCGGGAAGAGGGCGGTCCGTGGGGTGAGGACGAAGATCAAGACATCGATGATACCTGGGCGCGGAAAGCAACGAGCGTCAGAGAAGAGCGTACTTAAACGCCAACGAATATGAAACGTACCGATGAGATGGTAGACCGTGTTGCTATATGATATGTACGTGAATCAGCATCTGCAAGCAATATTTCAATGTTTGACGTACGCAAAAACGGAGTAGCCAACCGGGACGGCGGTATTCGTCCAACCGATGATCATCTCGACAATGACGGGAAGAACGCAGACGGTGTATACAAGCTTCATGGTGTGTAAGCCGAGCGTACGGAGCATACACACGCTGAGCGCCACTCACAGGATACCAGGCCATACGCTGGGCCATGACTACCGACAGCTTTTCACCATCAACTTTGTCCATCAATCCGACCTTCGCGTCGACGCCTAACGAACGCAGACTGATCATGAGATAGACGATCCAGGCGAACATGCCGGCCGACGCCAAGGCAGCGAAGATCATCTGTGATAAGTGAGATCTGGGAGCCTCTCGGTCTACTGGAGTTCTACGTACGATGGCTGAGGAGAATCTGATTAAAGCGAGTCAAAAGAGAGCTTACGGCGAGCAGGATGGATGGACACGCACATGATACTCTCAAGGAGAAACTCCGTTATGATGCCACAAGACTCGTCAGATACGCCGTCTATCAAGATCTCAGCATGGGGACGAGAGGCTAAAGCACAATAGCTCACAGAAGTTGCCAAGGTCATGTTTGGTGATTGTACCGACGATCAGGCCAAGCACGACAAGCAGACCAGACGCGAACCAGACGATCGCCATAACCACCCACGTTGAAAGAAAGAGACGCCTTGGACCACGACCATCGTTCGTGATGGAGAGGCTCTCGAAGCTGAGTTGTCTCTTTTCTAAGTTATGCGCTCGGCGCAAGATGACGAGCGCTTGGAGCGAGATGCCCTATAATATATGCAAGCTTCCTTGAGCATCTGAGGGCACATAGAAAGATGAGTGGCTTACCATAGTCCACAAAGCCAGAGCGACGTTGGAGAAGTGCCTGAGGAACCCTGTACACATAGTAAGCTAGAGTGAGAGGCAGTCTTCGGCAAGTATCAGGTCACCTTGTGCCGTGCATATGCCTCCGGAGAAGACCTGTTTGTTGACGATCCATGAGACGGTGATGACCTCGGAGACGGCTAAGGAAGTATGTATACATCAGTCTGTCTTCATCATGGCCGGTCTAGTGGAGACCACACCTGAGATAGCCTCGCAAGCGAGGAGAGACGTAAAGTACAGTGCGAGACTCGTTCGTACGAAGGAATATGAGCGCTTGGCTCTGTGCGTAAAGATCGAAGAGAGCTGCACGCATAGCGTCAGATTCAGTTCTACTGAGAAGAAGCGCACATACAATTATCGTAGCGAGTAACCCTATGGTGGAAAACAACTCTATAGATGATATCACAGTCGGAACCTAGCATGGTGCCATGAGACATTATCCATGAGCAGGTAAGTGAGTGAGCACGCACGATGTTGGCCTTGGCCTCTCCCGGAGAGTAGAAGTGTACCGGTACACCCTCGTGGCCAATAGCTAAAATACGAGCGCTGCGTCTGTCCATGACGGCCTAATCGTAATGAAAGCTCGAAGAACGAAGTTAAGATCGGGCCCGCCGAAGGGAGGAACGAAGAGGCTTTGGGTGGCGAGTGTGGCCAGCGGGCGTAAACGCACCGATGCCTATCCGGTAGATTGAAACGGGTTAATATAGGCAAGGCTGCGCAGAGAGAGAAGAGTGGAGAGCTGACAAACATGATATACCAGTGGGCACAAAGAAGTGTCGAAAGCCACACGCGAACCTATACAATCTGGCGGTTGTCGGAAACACAGTCACTCTACAAAGTTGAGGACAGAGGAGATACCAGGCCTCTGGTCGATGTTCGTGAGTAGAAACCCCCACGATGGGAGAGAAAGTGATCGGGGAGGCTAGGACGAGTGTGACAGCCGGCGGAGTCAGTTAGCAACGGACAGCACGCCAATTGACCATTGGCTACGTGGCTGGACGTCGTGCCATAGAAGACGCTGAACGTACTAAGGTTTAGTGTCAATGAGAATCCCGAGGATACAATGGAATGGACTCTCACGGAAGGTTGTGAGAGGACCGCACAGACTAGCGCTCGGGCAAGTCGGCTACGTGTGACGCGTGTCTCACGACGCCATGTTCGATGCAGCCGCTTCGAGTCTGACCTCGGAGAGGAGGTCCATTAAGCAGAAGATAAAACACGGAAAGCAGGATGTTCGTGGAAGGAAAGTTCCCCGCGGTATACCCATGCGGCCCAATGGCCCTAGGCGGAGGAGGGCACAGCCTTGAGTCTCCACGACATATCTGGGTCCTCTTTATTAGGCGCATCTTTCATGCCCAAGTTGGGCTTGACCAGGATAAAAGAGCAGAGAGCTTGAGGCATAGATACGCCTGCTTGAGAAGGCGGACAGGCAATGGCTGAACGCTAGTGGAAGATGGGTATGGGCTTCGCACGAGAGGTACTGCGTCGTGGTCGCGCCGAAGGCATTCGGCAAAATTCGTCGTGGATGTTATTGATACTGTCGGCAGGAGTCTCAAGCGTGAGATAAGCATCTTTTATGTCTTCACGCGTGACTTCTGCATAGGCCCGAGGATGACTTCGAGGGAAAGATCGACGAAAGCGTCAGAAACAAGTGCGAGTTGCGGCGGAGAACGGCTTGAAACGAAGACTCGACGCGTGACGTCACGCGTTCACGTACCGGACCGAGCCTCCGGGCCGGGCGACGCCGCAGAGCTGTGCTCGTCCAGCGTTGTCCAACGCGCTCTTGCCCGTGTACAGAAGCTCCAGCCTCGGAACCCATCGATTGGTCTCTGTCAATCATGTCGGACTTCAGCGCGCCGGATACGGTTAGACCCAAGGACTTACTGGCTTCAACAAAGAACCTCTTTCATCGCCGAGCCCATCCAGTCTCCAACACTGCACCCCGTTCCTCGACCCATCCATACGTCTCACCCATACGACACCTTGGTGTCCTACCCGTCGTCCTTGAGTGGAGGGTATAATATCATGGTGCGTCTATATTCGTTCCTCAGTCAATGAGGAGATCTGACACGCTTTAGACGCCGCCGATACCCACCGACATGCTTCAGTACAACTGGTACCATTCCTCCATACTGGACACGCCATATCCATACTCCGATGGTGGTGCCGTATTCAATGCCACCGCGTCTACCGGCAGTCGCTGGGTAGAACAACATGCGTCTCCCTACACTGCTAGCGCCTCAAGCCTCGGCAGTTCTCCAGCTGACCTCGCATACCCGCGAGTGCTGTTACCATCCAGCTACCCGTTCCTCGATGACGCGGGTCCGTTCCCCGGACACGACGCTCAAGAGTTGCAAAGCGAGGGCGTGGCAGGGCTGCTATCGTACACTTGGTCCTCGCCAATCTCTACGGGCACCACCAATTCATCGCTCTGGAATAGCCCGCCCTTCGTTGACCCGTCTTCGGCGACTCTTGCCGGCTCTTCGTCGTCGCTTGGTCATGATCAAGGGTTTGGGGACGCGACCCTCGACGTGAATGCCATCGACGTGTCTAGCTTTGGCACGGGTTTCGACACCAACACCTACGCAGTCGATGCGCCTGCACTTGGCTTCGACGATTTCAAGGCAGGCGCGTTAGGCTTCACTTCCGACGAGTTGAGCTTTGGATACGATATGGGCGCGACGCCCTTGGACTTTGGCATTGAGGTAGGCGGATCTGAATTCGCTAGCGGGCTCTTCGATCCCCTGTTTATCAGCCCCGAGTCGGCGTGATGTTCATTGGACGGCATGCTCGCCGCGCGCCCATTGTAGTCCACGTCTGGTCCTACTCCGTGTCCTAGCAACGTCGGTGCACAGACGTTGCCAGGACGCGAAGTAGGACAACAGACACGAGCTAATGCGCTCACTGATACCTGACTCTTTACTCTCATATGTTACCCTCTTGTCTCTGCGCTCCTCTCATCCATCGTATCTAGTACTCAACACGCTCTCGATCGAGCAATTGTTCTCGAGTCCTGCTGTTGAGTACTGCCCCATGCCTTTACTTACCGTCTCGCGTCTTCTTCTGTATCTGTGTTCTTTCCCTTACTTTCGCATGTTCAACCTTTGTAAAGTTCTTGTACGTTACTGTACCACCATAACGAGCGAGGAAATGCCGTCCTTCCCTCTTACTACCTCAGGCGCGAACCGTGCTCGTTAAGACGTGTTAGTTTTGTCCCATCTGTGTGATGGTCGATCGATCAGACCATTGAGACCGCTTATCGTAGAGCGATGCTTGCTCTCTTCATAAGTATACGCTCGTACTCATCGAGGAGCGCTCGTGCTGTTGGTGACTTGGTTAATGCGTGGGAGCTCGCCACGTGGGCCCCTGGGCGACAAACACGAGGCTCGCGAGTACGGCCATCTCGTTACCCATTGCCAGTCTGTCCGCTCAGGTGTCCATCATCGAGTGCGAAACTCAGATGATAGCCATGCATGCCTCAACCTCCAGCACTCAAGTTCAACCTGTCTGCTTTTGGGGAGTTTGCGCTTGACTCTTATCCTTGAATGATGCACGCGATTCGTTTCGCCATCCCAACGTGCATCTATATGGTGTTTCTAACTTATATCTGATCATACTTCGAACAAATACATCCAGAACCGTACATCTGAACTTGAACGCGAACTCCGCGCCTACCGGTACCCTGTTTGCCTCTCGTGGGCACCCTACACCACGAGGCTACAGCGCCTCACCCCCATGACCGTTTATCTAGACGCCAATATGCCAGTTTGACATACATATAGGCAAGTGGCTACAGTGTGGCTACACGAAGGCCGTGCTGACATCAATTCATTCAAGACAGATATAACCTGCCGTGCTCGTAGTGCACGCGAAGCCCTATGTCTTCTACCTCCACTGGCTTCTCCACTCCCGACTCAACCGCAGACCACAGCGACGCGATGTCCGACGCTCAATCAACGTCTTCCAACGCTCTCGGACTCCTTGACCCTCAGGTCTCTGAGCAGCGTCGTCGCATCTTTGATCTCATCAACCGGTTGCGGAATACCGGGTGCGTTACTCTCCCCATCTCGGTCGAGCGGAGTTCATCTTCAACGTTGGCGCAGTGTACAGAGTGAGATAAGCGTGCCCGTTATTGCGGTGGTTGGTGCACAGAGCGCCGGAAAGTCCTCGATGATCGAGGCCATATCTGGGATATCCCTCCCACGGAAAGCGGGGACATGTACTAGGTATGCTCAGAGAAACAAAGCGCATGATGTATCATCTTGGAGCTGACAGGCGCTGACAGGTGTCCGACTGAGGTGCATCTTCAGTGGGCAGATGCGTCGTGGACCTGCGATGTTTCCCTCCGTCGGGACTCAGTCACCGTCGGCGAACCCCACGCTACGCCCTTCGGCAGCACGATCACCGAGAGGTCTCAAGTCACCGAACGCATCCGGCGCGCACAGCGTGCGATCCTGAACCCTTCGCGTGATCCCGACGACTACCTTCACGGTCCTGAGCCGCAGGCTGACGATAGTTCCTTCTCGTCGGATTGTATCGTGCTGAAGATTCGCGGCCGTGACGTTACAGATCTGCTCTTCGTTGATCTTCCGGGTTAGTACCTGACGAAAAGCCTCGGGTTGATCTTACCAATGTGTGCTACATGCAGGGCTCATTGTAGGTGGCATTGAGGAAGAAAGGGAGCTTGTTGAGAAGCTGGTCCGTGACAACATCAACAGGGAGAGCTGCATTGTGCTTGTCACGGTTACGTGCGAGAGTATGTCCGCTATCTCACTCGCGCCACGTCCCACTCTAACTCTCTTCAGCGGATTTCGAGAATCAGCCAACATACAAGCTTGCTCGTGAACATGATCCGGATGGGTCCAGGATTGTAGGTAAGATGAGCCACCGGATACTACTGTTTGATCAAGGTCTAACGCCAATGCTTATCAGGCGTCTTGACGAAACCAGATCGCGTCCCTCCCGGTGGCGAACACCTGTGGACAGCACATATCAAACGTGAGAACTCACGTACGAAGAATACGGAGTGGTTCAGCGTCAAGAACCCCAGCCACGAGGATCTCAGAGCAGGAATCACCTGGCAGGCCTCGCGTTCTGCCGAAGACCAGTACTTCGCTTCGGCAGAGCCTTGGTTGACTCTGAGCAGAGGAGCATTCGCTAGTCAATTGGGTACTGCGAATCTCACGAAGAAGCTATCCGATATGCTCTATAACTTGATGCTTGAACGGTGAGAGATATCATACGCAGTAGAACGCAGACCGTCGTCTGACTTCATACTAGTCTCCCGCTCATTCAACAGGAACTTGACGCTGCGCTCGCCAAGACCCAGGCTAGCCTCAAAGATCTTCCACCTCCACCGTCATCTGAAGAGCCCGTTTCCGAGATCGTGCGCATGGTCAGCGAGTTCACGCGCGAGGCGGACAGCCAGACTCAGGGTGTTCCCGAGGCCGACGGTCTACTTCAGCAAATGAGCGGCGCAGAGGAGGTCTTCCAGACTGACATCCGCCTCACGGTGCCTAACTACAAGCCATGGCGAAGCGACGATCAGCAGAGGTCGTATATGCCATCTTTCGACTTTCTACTTCACGAGGAAGAGCATCTACGTGCTGGACGAGGACCTTCGATCTTCGTTGACCAGGTCATGCGCGATGCTCGGAGGTACGGTGGTTAATTGCTTCAATTAGATCCATCTAATTATCGTTCTATCTAGCGCCGTAACTCGCGAGCTACCTGACAACTACCCCTTTGTCGTTCAGAAGCGCGCTATACTGCAGTTTGTAGATCTTTGGCGCGCACCTGCCTTCAGGTTATTCGAAGTCATTCAGGCGCGTGTGGAAGCTTTGTTGCTTAAGCTGGTTTCCTCGGACGCCCACTTTGGACATTATGACAAACTCAAGAAACTTGTGGGGTACGTCCCGGGATCGTGTTGTCAGGTTTGATTTGGCTTCTGATTCCGTCCGAATAGCCCGATTGTCATAGCTCACATTGCTGTGCGAGCACAGGAAACACAGCAAAGACTCGATTTCCTTCTTGCCATGGAAGCCGAAGTCAAGACTCGCAACGTGCATTACTTCCGCTCGTACCGCGACAAGTTTCTCGCGCTTTATAAGGGCGTTTGGAGGCGTCGTACACCCCAAGCTAGGCGAATCCTAGGCGAGCCATCACCGGAGCGCGAGACTTCGTCCGATCCTGGTTCACCTGGCAGTACGCGGTCTTACCTGGATAGTGAGGCGGGTACCCCTCCTCCTGCTCATTATACCACTGCATACGCGGCTCCTCGTGAAGTGCCAATGCGGCCGCCTCCGACGCCTCCCCTGGAAAGAGCCTTGCGAGCGTTGTACGATCTAGGCCTGACCAGGCTCGAAGCGAGGGATCTTTTGGTTCTTATGCGATCGGATCCTGAGGAGGACGCTCTCTTCATCATGGCCAATGTGCGCGCATACTTTCAAGGTGAATGCACTCCATACGTCTGCTACAGTGCTTGTCGTTCTGAACCATGAGTACCAGTCGCATATAAACGTTTCGTCGACAACGTGCCCCTCGCCATCGACGAAGCCTTCGTACGCGGCGTAGTCGTCGGGCTGCAAACGGCCATCCTTACCGGCATCGGGATTGGCGGGCGTGATGGTTTTGAAACGTGCCAACGTCTGCTTCAGGAGCCCGAGCACATCAAGCGGCGCCGCGACGAGCTTCTAGAGAAGGAGAGCCGCTTCAAGGAGGCGCACAGGGAGCTGATGCGCTTTACCGTAACTTCGTGATGAATTGTGAGCTATGGACCAAGATATTCTTGCTGAGCTTCTGAATCAGAATTGTACTAGTAGACCGTAGATGCATAGCTGTGTAGATAGATTATGTACTTATCTTGCTTCAAGAGCTTGGGGTTCTAAGAATATACTCTTGAACAGATGATTATCCAAAGATATCCGTGACCTCAACGGCCGTTAGTGGCGTTCAATCGCAGACGATCATCACGATAATATGTAGTAGACGCGAACATCAATGCGGGAAGACTGAGTGAGCTTGAACAGATGTGTGAATGAGATTTTAGCCAATTGCAACGACAACATTTCGACAGTGAGCAATACAACAACAACACGACAACCGAAACCCAACTTGGAGAAACAGGAAACGAGCACAATCATTGCTTAGCCCTCTTCAACCGCCCCTTCCGATCCCTATACATCGCAGTCAGTACCATAGCCATAACAGGGCAGATTGAATGCACATACGCAAACGAGGCGTTCTTCCTCTTCTTACTCTCGCGTTTCGTGTCTGCGCGGTGCGCGCGGCGCTTAGCCGCAGCTTCCGGGTTTGCCGCGATCTGCGTAGCGCGGGCAGTGCGCCTGTCGCGTTGTACACCGAGGACGTGTTGACGGATGCGCGCGTATGTGTTTGCGAAGGCCGTCGTACCGACCTTCTGCTGTACAAGTTCTTGCAACTCGATGGCTGTGGTCTTCAGCTCCTCTGTATGGAGATCGTTAGTAAGACCATAGTAAAAGTGATGGCGTGAGATGTACCGAGATGGGCGTCTTTGATGACGCTTTCCTCCGTAATACGGTACACGGGGGCGAGGATGTGCATGAGGTATCGCTCGAGCCGCGCCGCATCCAGATGGGTAGCCATGGCTGCGAACCACTTGAAGATCGCGGATGGTTGGAGATACCAGTTCTCCTGCTAGCCGTCAGCACAACCCTCTGTCGTCGTCAGATGAAAGAGCGTACCTCGTTCGCAACGCGATTCCGTCGAGCGATATGCGCTGCGCGAGCCTGGTAGGACAACTTAGAGAACAACCAGGCCAGCGGATTATCTGGTCTATCTTCCTCTCCGGGCTCGGCCTCATCTCCAGCACCCTCCTCCTCCTGGACGCTCTCGGCAGCACCCGATACAGCGGCGGCAGGCTCAGGGACAGCCGCGAAGCACTTCCCGACCCAGAACAAGTTCTTGACAATCTGCAAGCTAAGCGCATCGTCCAGATGCTCACTCTTGAGCTGCGTACACAGTGCGCCCGCGAGAACACGGAGGTCGAGGTCTTCGGCGGGGAAGTCGGGTTTAGGAGCGGATGGTGGTACAGCGGCGAAGAGCATGCCGAGTGTTCGTGCGGATGCGGCGCGGACCCACGCGTGTGGGAAGAGTAGAAGGGCGCTGATGGCGCTCCATGATGCGCGGGGGATGCTGTCCGGGAAAGCGCGTAGAGTCTTCTCGAGGACCGTCAACGAGTGGTACGGGACTGTCCACTCTGGCTCAACCTCCATCGCGTCTTCGTCCTCGTCTACATGCTCGAGAGCATCCGCAGCACGCGTCAACGCGGCGTTCAGATCCGCGAGCAGTACATCAAGATGCGGCGCCGCGTCCGCGCCGAGCGCTTCGAGCACGAGCCCGTACACTTGACAGGCAACCCTGACAAGCGCCGGCTGCGGGCTGCCCGCCCACGCATGTACATGCGCAAGCACAACCCTCGCCTTCTCGGAAGCGAGCCTCTTCAACAGACTCTTAACAACCTCCGCCGCCATCTCCCTACACTTGGGAGCATCATCATTTGCAAGCACCATGACGAGCGCAACGAACACCATATCCGCATACTCCTCCAACAGCGATCCCGCGAACTTCTGCACCAGCGCGCCCAACAGCTCCAGCACACTCGCGCGCCCGCTCTCGTGCGCGTACGTCGTGTTCTTCGCGAGGAACGCCATCGTCTTCTTCAGCCTGCCAGCGCCCTGAGGATAATCGAGCAGGAAAGCAAGTAAAACAGATCGACACTGTTCGCGCGCGCTCGAGCTTTGGCTCGTCACGCCCACTTCCGCCACGCGGTCCATCATGTCGTATATCTCCGGTACGACGAACCGCCTGCTCACGATAGCTCTCAGGATAGCGAATACGGCCGTCTGTCGTTCGGGGTCTTCAAGATCGGGCCCGATGAGCTGGAGTAGTAAGAGTAGATCCGGTTCGGCGATGGGCGCGGAGGGCTTGTCGCGGAGGAGACCGGCGAGCGTTTTGAGTGCCGCTTGGACGAGCTCGGAGTCGGTGCTGCCTGTGCTCCTTATGATAGCCACCATTTGATTGACAAATACCGGTAGCGCTTTGTCGACGTTCTTGAGCGGACAGCGCGCAATGGCTGCTGCGGCTTTGAGACCCTGAGCGAGTACTGCTGCATGCGAAGCGTAGAGAGTGTTGCCGATGACGGACACCATAGGCTCTAACCGCGCGATCGTGCGTTTGTCGCTGAAGTCGAACCGGCCGCGCTTGAACGCCGTGTTGAACAGGTCCAGTCCAAACGCGACGAAGCGGAACGAGTTGGTGGCATAATGATCCGCCTCCTTCTCCACAACACGTTTCGTCTGGACGAGCGCATCAGCGCCCTCCTCCTTCACGCCTTTCCTACCCTTCCCTTTGCCCTTGCCCTTCTTCGCCTCTCGCACAGGTGCCTCCTGCAAGAATTTCGCGTTCTGGCTGATCAGGGTGTGGCATAGAGAAAGCATCTCGCCCGCCCCGACGCGTCCATTCTGGTTCAACCCGCTCGCGATCCTCCTCAGCACATCCTCAACAGCGCCCATACTCTTCAACGCGGCCGTCTCGCGCATCACCCCTCTCAACGGCGTGAGAAGCACAGCCACGCGGTTCGGCGATACATATTTCGCGAGCAAAGCGAACGTATCGAGGCCCTTCGACGCGCTGGAGCGTACTTCGCGCGTCTTGGTCTTGAACCCTTCAGCCTGCACATCTTGACCCGGCGCACCGAACACGACGTCGGCGGCTACATGTGCCGCGTCGGGCGCTGATGCGTCCAAATCGGCGAATGCTTCGGCGTGGGAGCCGGACGTGACGTGCACGAGCAGCGCGTGCATGACATACGCGCATATATGGATGTGCGGGCCGCGCACGAGCGCTGCGCGCAGCTCGGAGAGCGCTGTGGGGAGGTACGCAGGCCCGAGCGCGACGACGACGCGGCATAGCGTTTCGCGAGCCAGGTCGCGCGTCTCGGATGACTTTGAGCGGAAGACTTGTGCGAGGAGCGTGAGGAGGCGTGTTGCTTGTGCAGTGCGCTGGGCGGGAGGGAGCCGTCTCGCTACTTGGGCTATGCCGACTGCGACGGGGAGACGCGCGCCGTCGTCTGCTTCTTCGCGGCGCTCGAGGTGGTTGAGGAGTGTGGGAAGGAGCTTGTTCATAACCGCATCTTCAACACGGGCGTCGACGGTCAACTTCTCCTTCTCCTTCTCTGTCTGCTCAATACCCTCCTCATCTTCCTCGTCGACAACTTCTGCATCAGCCTTATCCTCCCCAACCTCCTCCGCCATCGCAAAATGGAACCCCTCAAGCACACTAACAAGCGCCCTAACACACAACCTCTGCCCAACACCCTTCTCCCCACTCGCCCTCAACCACCTCTGCACGAGCCCAAAATACGGTCCCCACGCCATAACGCCCGCCAGCGCGCCCAGCGTGCTCAGCGCCTGATTCGCCAACGTGTGGTCCACGTCGGGGCTAATGAACCCGCTAGCTAGCGGAGCCCATATTTCTGCGGCGGAGCGCGGGGAGAGGGTGGGTGCGGCGTGCGAGAGGCGCAGGAGGGCGCGGGTGCGGCGGTGGGTTTGGACGTGGAAGAGGTTGGTGAAGACGGAGGCTTCGGTGTCGCCGGCTGCGAGGAGGGGCTGCATCGCACTATTAGTCTACTACTCAGCGGTAGTACGATTGAAAATACACACCTTCATGTCCTCCAACCCCGGAACAACATCGCTAAGCTTCTCGACAGCATGCGCAAGCACGCCCAACACTTCTCCTCTCACAGCCTCCGCCCTCGACCTCAAGCCGTGCTTGAGAGCAGGTAAAAGTCGGCGCTGGAACTCCCTCGTCCACGCCTCTCCATCTCCCTCTCCTTCTTGACCAGCGACCTGAGTTGAGTGGTCCGCGACGGCATCGACGAACCGCCTCATCCCAAGCGCCGCGCTCGCGCGTATAGCGAGCTCCTCGACGTCTTGTACATCGAGAAGAAGTTGGTGTAAGATAGGGATCCATTGACGCGCGGAGAGCTGGTTCCACAGTTGCTCGTTGAGCCTACATCCGCATCAGACTCAATCGCCACCACATAAGATAAAGAGACACGCACCGAGTAAACCCCTCCAACCGCCTATCATAATCCGGCACATCCACCCTCCTCCTATCAAACGCATTCAACACGCCCAACACCTCCACCACCTCCCCCATCTCCCCTTCCTTCTCTGCAAAAGCGCCAAAAGCATCCATCAACGCCCCCCTCCCCGCCCGTCCCCTCACACCCCCCACCGCCCTGCTCAGCGCATCAAACACCTTCTCCCTCTCACCCCCCTCCCACCCCTCGCCCGCCGCGACAGGGATGAGCGCGCTTAAAACCCGCAATACATCCCCCTTGGCTTTTTCGCCGACCATCCTGTTCGGCCTCCGCAACAGCGGGCTCAGGATGCCGCTTAGCCTGCTCGCGAGCGCGCCGTCGTGCGCGTACGGCGCTAACAACACCAGTAACGCGATCTCGCGCGCGAGGAGCGGCGCGGCGTCGCGGTCGTTCGCCGGAGCAGCCTGTGTACGTGCGAGAAGTGCACCGAGCCCGCTGAGGAGCGATGATACATGGGGTGTTATGAGCGCCGGATCTTCAAGCGCCAGCACATTCTCCGCTACGCCCAGCGCAGCCCTCAACGCGGCCGGTTTCGCGCTCTGCGCACTCAGCAGCGCGTACACGCCCTCTAACAACCCGTCCTCCTTCGCGATTGCGCGCGCCGTCTCATCGCGCTCACTCAGCGCGACTATCAGCGCTAAGAGCGCCGAGGGCGAGTGCGCGTTTTCGAGCGAGAGGCGCGCGATGCGCGGGCGGAGGAGGGTGAGGATGAGAGGGGTGTAGGGGGCGAATGTGAAGGGCGGCGCGTCTGAAGGGGAGGGCGAGGAGCGGAGGAAGGAGGCGAGGAGTTTGAGGGCGTGTGTGCGGAGGGTGCGCGAGGTGCGTATGTCGGCGTTCGAGGTCGATGGGTCCTCCTTTGCATCGTCGTCCTCGTCTTCTTTGTCCTCGTTTTCCTCGGCGTCGTCTTTGTCGGCGTCCTCGACATCTTCGACGGTAGAAGCGCCGGATCGTTCGACAACACCCTGCGCCCTCTCCCCGATCGCAACGACGGCCCTGATCAACACGCCCCACCGCCCCACCACCCGCGTGCCCAGCGCCTTCAGCACATCGCCGACCGTATGCAGAAAGCCGTTCTGCACCCTAAGCGGCACACCCTCTTCCAACCCAAACCCTGCCCCCTCCATGTCAAGCGCATCAAGATCCACCGCGTCGACATCTTCGATCTCCAACAAAGGCGCCACCATCAACTTAACAAGCAAATCCAGCTCCCCCTCCTCACACCGTCCCAGTGCGCCCAACACCCCGCCCCTCCTCCCTCGGGCGCCCCCTCCCTTCTTATCCCGCATAACACCAAACAGCACCCGCACAAACACCGGCGCCACCACGTCCCTCTCGCCCTCCGGCAACTCCGAAAGTACGAGCGAGGACGACAGCGTATCGCGGCGGCGCGTATCGTCCAGCAGCGCCTCGAGCTCGTCCTTTTTCTTGAGCAGCGCGGGGTCTTTGAACGTCAACACGCACTCCATCGCCAACTTCTGAATCGCCCGGTCCGGATGCGCGAGCAAGGCCATGTAGAGCGCCCGCAGCTCAGCGCTCCGCACGCACGCGCGCGGGTTGGCGAAGTGCGAGAGGAGGGAGAGCCAGGATTGGAGTTGGGTCCTGGGTAGGTGTAAAGGGCGGAGGGAGAGGAAGAAGGGGATGAGGGCGCGGTTGTGCCGTTCTGCGAGGGTGTGGGTGGGGGGCGTGGAGAGGGCGGAGAGGAGGTTGAGGAGGTGTGTGCGCGGGTCGGGGCGGTCGGTCGTTCGCAGAAGTGCCGCCTGCGTACATTGGTTAGTCTTGTGTCAAAGAGAGGTTAGTGAGAAGGACGTACGCGTGAGTGTTGCAGAGAAAGCCGCCCGACCCAGCTTTTGAGTGCTATGCGCACTTTATGCGCGCTCGGGTCTCTCCACGTTTTTTCGTCCTCGTCGATATCGTCTACTACCCTTCCCTCGTCCTCGTCGCTCTCGGCGCGTTGAGTCCACGCCGGCATCTCCTCTTCCTCTCCCTCGTCCACTCCGCCCATCTCCTCGTCTTCGTCATCACCGAGCGGGGTGAACACCGTGCTAGACCCCTCAACAACCCTGCTAACCCTCCCCACCTCCCCCCACAGCACCCCCCACACGCCCTCTCCCCACC